AAAATTGGAATATTGTAAGACGAGTTCTTCACATAATTTTTGTTTCAGTGTCTCGAATGACTCTTCTTGAGCAGATATCCATTCGAACGTCGTGTCATTTTTTAATAAATTTGTTACAGATTTTGCCAATTTCGAAAAGCTTGATATAAACCTGCGATAATATCCTGCTATTCCCAAAAATTGTTTAATAGTTTTGGCCTTGGTAAAATACTTTGCGGCTTCTAATTTTTTTGGATTCGGTCTAATGCCTTGCTAATTACATGGCCTAGATAGGTTACCTCTGTTTTTAAGAATTCAATTTATTTGACTGCAGTTTTAGATTAGCCTTACGAAGCCGGTCAATTAATAAATTAAATTTTCTTTCGTGTTCCTCTAAAGAGTGGCGTATATGATAATGTCGTCCATATAAACAAATAATTCCTGGCCTTGTAATCCTAACAGTATTAGATCCATTAATCTTTGGAAGATAGCAGGAGCATTTTTTAATCCAAAGAGCATGCGATCAAATTCGTAATGCTCAAAGGGAGTTGTGAAAGCAGTTTTATATCGGCAGGATCCATTCTTATTCGTGAATCCGGAAGCCAAATCGCATACAGAAAAATATTGTGTCTCGCCTAAGTAGAATGTCAACGATATTAAGTAATGGATACGCATCTCCGATCGTTTTTTCATTTAAAGCGCGGAAGTCTAAAACCATTCTCCATCTCGTGTTTCCTTTTGAGTCCTCTTTTTTCGGGATACTATCCATATGGGCGTATTGTAAGGTGATTGAGAGAGCTTTACGATGCCTCCTTCGAGCAGTTTCTTCTACCTGCTTATTTATTTCTTCTTTATGCGGAAATTTGTATTGTCGTGTGTTTATAAGTTGATCATTTATAGTGGGTATTTGATGCTGCAATACGTTAGTTGTTAATTAATCGTTCCCCAGGAATATGAAATGTCCTGATAGTTAGACTATTAGTTATAAGATTTATTATGTTTTTCTTTTCTTGTGCGTTTAGATGTTCTAATCGGAGCAATTCGGTAATTTCTAAAAGCTTATCCTCTGTAGTTTTTTCAGATACTATCAGACATTTATATGAAATTTCGTCAATATTGTAATTTCTAGGAGTTTCTATGGTTCCTCCTTTGTATTTTGATTTACGCGCATGAAGTTATCTATCATTTTTTGAGATAGATCATGCGTTGACGCTAGGATTTTTGAAGACGGTTTATCTCTCCTTTTACAAATGTAATTGTTTCAATTGGATCATATAATTATACTCTTTTTCCGAGTTCTTTCATAGTAATTTGAGAGGTTTGGTTACTTCCCTCCTTGCGATCGACAGGAGTAGAATTTATCAAGGAGGTATGAAAATCTTCCTCTGGAGTTCTAGGATTAATTAAAATTTCAGGAGGAGCCTGGGAACTTCCCTCTCTAAAGATTTGGGAATTGGACAAATTTTCAGAAGGGATTTGGTAACTTCCCCTTTTATGGATTCTGGAATCTGGAAAGTTCTGGAAACCTTCCTCGGAGAAGTTCTGGAAAATAAATCCTCTAAATTGGAGTTTTTCTTTATTTTTTTATTTCCTCTTTTACTTTTGTCTTTAATTTTTCCTTTAATTCTCTTTTCGTGTGGATTCCGAATTTAATTTTTAGTTACCATCTCCGTCATAATTATATTTCATTCTATTCGTTAGTTTTTCTTTCATTATTTTCTGTAATCGTCCCGTCTTCATTTTTATCCAAGATTTCCTTTTCACTATTACTGGCACTCGCGTCATTATTAATAAAAACTTTTTGATTCAACATATTTTCGGAATATTTGCAATCGGTATGCATAACAACGTTTCTTTTCTGATCATTTGATTTTTCGGTGTTCGATTCATGATTACCAAACAATTCATCCAACGGTTAAGGCGTAAAATAGGTATCTGAACTTCTATTTCTTATTCCAGTGTACTTATAATATTTAAATACGCCAGAGACATTTTCCACAATCGTATCTCCTAGGTAAATTCCATGGGTTACCTTTAATCTAGGAATAACAACCTAACATAATTTCCTGTCAATTATGTTTGAAACCGGGGCAATGCTAAAATGTGCTGATCTAATAATAATATTATTGTAGTTTCTCTCCGAATAAGAATTCTATTGTTTGCCAATGGTGTAATAAGGCTGACCACCTCGCTAATAACTGTTGGACAAAGACAAAACACTAAACGTAATATTGATTTTTGATTAAATCAAAGATTGTCTATCAGAATTGCAACAATTCGGAACATATTGCCAGGGATTATCGTTTCAAAAATAATTATCAGTATAATTCCGAGAATGGCGTATTCTGTCGCTATTATAAGGAAAGGGGTCATATTCTCGACACTTGTCAATTACGTATCGCGAGTAATAACCGGAAGAAAGCTACCAATCAGGAGAACTCTGACGGCCTCTCGAAGGCGGATGTGCAACAGAGATCCGAACGAATCTTACACCTGTCGACGTTTCCGAAGACTCAATAAATAAAAACGCACTAGAAATACCCGTAACAGTGATACTCAGTAAGTATGGTCGCGTGCCTACTATTGAAAGGAATTTTTGCGAGTCAATGTTCGTTATAACTTTTATGCTAGACACCAGGTCAGAACCGAACGTAATTAAAGAAATTTTTATACCTAAAAACAACATTATCGACTACAATAATATTTTAAAGCTAAACAGCATAAATGAATATCCCGTATCTATATTCTCGGAAAAATAACTTACCTTTTGGAAAAGCAGTAATATTTCACATTGTGTCTAATGACTTTCCAATTTCACAGTCTGATATATTAGGCAACGATTTTTTTTAACAGACTTCTTCAAGAATAGACTACGCAAATGGATATTTAGATACATCGGGAGAAAAAATACCCTTCCTGTTACCGGAAACCATAATAGCAATTTCACGCACGGAATCATTATGTTACATCGGGATAGAGAACCCTGAGATAAGGATAGGATATATTCCTAAATTAAAGATAGCCCATGGAATTTACTTAGGAGATACAATTGTGGAAAATGTCTCTAGTAAGACGTATTTAAATATTATAATATAAGTACACTGGAATAAGAAGTAGAAGTCCAGGTACGTATTTTACGCCTCAAACCGTTAGATGAATTGTTTGGTAATCATGAATCGAACACCAAAAAACCAGATGATCAGAAAAAAAACATTGTTATGCATACCGATTCCAAATATTTGGAAAATATGTCTAATCAAAAAGTTTTTAATAATAATGACGCGAGTGTCAGTAATAATGAAAAGGAAATCTTGAATAAAAATGAAAACGTGACGATTACAGAAAATAATGAAAGAAAAACTAATGAAAAGAATGAAATATTAGTTATGACGGAGTTGGTAATTAAAAATGAAATTCGGAAACCAGACGAAAAGGGAATTAAAGGAAAAATTAAAGACAAAAGTAAAAGAGGAAATAAAAAAATACTCCAATTTAGAGAAAGGTTTCAAGAACTTCCCAGATTCCAGAATAAAAGAGAAAGTTATCAAATCCCTCCTGAAAATTTGTCCAATTCCCAAATCTTTAGAGAGGGAAGTTCCCAGGCTCCTCCTGAAATTTTAATTAATCTTAGAACTCCAGAGGAAGATTTCCATACCTCCTTGGTAAATTCTACTCCTGTCGATCGTGATCCTGTCAAATTATCACTTCTAGTAGGTTCTCATTCGGTTACATTGACTATCTATCTATATATATATATATATATATATTTATGTGAATACGTTTTCGCTGTAACTCGAATGATTATAGAGCGAAACAATTGAACCGAATTAAAGACCAGAGTGACTAATCAAAATTTTGTGACTTGTCTCTGAGAGAATCAAAGCGAACTAAGGAAAGTGAAAGAATTCTCCCCGAGGGTCGCGGAATCGCGATTTATATACCGATTTTCTCTTGATTGGTAGGGATCTAGTTAAGTGATGAGACTTTTCTGGCTTCTAAATTAGTCAAGATTTGAAGTATATTGTAGGAAAAGAAAGGAGTCTATCTTACATCAACAAGTATCAGTCTTATTTTTACGATGCTTTCTTCTTAAATTATGGGGAAATGCACATGTAGCGGGTAAAACGAACGTGCAGTGTCGGCACGGGACTGTCAAATACCTCCCCTGGATGTCGCGTGTCACTTCTATATTTTACGATCGCGGACATCGTGAGAATCGTCCGCGACTTTACTGTTAGGAAAATGTTTAGTCGTTGGCTTTGCGTTTTCACTGACATTAATCGTCTTCTTAATAGCAGTGTCCAAGAAGGGTGTCATCGATGCCACATTAGTCCCCGCATCCACCGACATCCTTACCTTAGCTGACGTTAACGGGGAGATACTGGAGTCTTTGCTTTTTTTTAATTTTTCATGAGAAAGATTTTTATTACTGTTGAACCGTCTGTGTTGACAATTCCAGTGGGCCTATTACGCCTATTTTTCTGTGAATTTAATCACTTTTCGCATTTCACGTGACTTTAGTCATCTAATTACGGAACTTTTAAGTGAAAATGTGAAGTAACTAGGTATTTCCGATATAATAATCTCACATTTTGAAATCGATAATCATAGGTTTGTACACAAAGTGAGGTTAAAAGTGTTAGAAGTAATTATAAGTCAAGTTTTTTAATTCATCGCTTGATTCATCGTTGATTAATCGCATTATGCTAAAAAATAATTCTTTTGTAAAAAGCTGCATTTATGCATAATACGATTGATCAATGAAAAATCTCGTTTATGCTTATTGTCTATTATTACATTATTAAGTATTAATAGTTATAACAAAAGTAGTACAAAATGAACATAACTGAAAAGCAGAAAATAATTTTATTAAATTATATGAGAAACAATGAAGATTTTGTAAGAGGCCGCTTACGTTACAGCAGTGGCAATAAAAAAATTAGTAAGTACTATACATTATCAGTTTATATTAAAATTAAAGATTTTCGGCAATGTCATAATATTTTATTTATAATATAATAATAGGTAATAAGTAAATTAATTTTGTTTATGCAGGATAATATGGGCTTCCATCACTGTATCCTTAAATGCTACTGGAAATGGACCTCAAAAAGAATAGCAAAAGAATGGCAAAAGGTACTTATGGAAAAAATTATAATATTTTATTAAATTAGAAGAATGACATTTAATTATATTGATACGATTATTTAAAAATGTTATATTTTACATAAATATAGACATGGAGAGATTGGAAAGCAAATGTGCTAAAAAAACGTGCAAAAAGTTACGCTGGTGGTACAGGTGGAGGACCACCGAAAGTACTTCAGTTAACAGAACTGGAAAATTTATTGGAAATCATAGATCCAGAAGCTACTGATTTGGATGATATGCCTGAAGGAAGAAATTTTAATAGGACAATACAGAAAGGATCTGTACCTATTAATAATACAATCTCAAAAAGGGAATCCTTTCATACTTCTAAAGGATTGTACAAAACCACTGTGCAAGAAGTCGAATTAAAAAAACTTTTATTTAATTTTCTACAAATGAAAAGGGTATAATATGTATCATATTCTATATATGATATCACATTATTGATTGATATAAATAATAATAAATAGTAATATATGTAATACATAAAAATAATTAATATTTCAATAAATATACTTCTATATTGGATACCAGTAATAAAATATGTAAGATGGATGACATAACCAAATCTCCATCAATATCCGCAAGCGAACTTCTTGACGACACAGATTTTTCAACACGAGTAAGTAAAATCAGTATATATTCTTTATTAGGAAGAATGTTTATGTGTTATAATAAAAAAAATAAAAATAAACATTTAGGAGATGGAAAGCAATATTTCTGAACATAATATTTTTGAATCTGCTCTTGAATTTAATGACATTATTTTCATAGATGAAAATACGAATACCATACCACCTGAGGTCAATTCTAAATGTTATCAAGCACAAGGCAAAGATATTAACTATTATTGATTATTTAAATATCAAATTAACATCATAAAATAAAATAAAGTATATAGAATTTAGAAAAAAATATATTTTAATGTTTTTGATTTTTTAGCTATCAATAGTAACAAAGAAAATAATTCCAATATAGCTGTACAATTAATGCGTGAGAATATGAAAATAAAACAAGAAAAATTGAAAATCTTTAAAGAAAAATTACTTTTATAAAAAGAAAAGTTTGAATATTTAAAAAATATTCATTTATATTCTAATTATAAAGATATTTGAAGTAATATTGATTATGCGTTTAAGAGAAGTTGAAAAAATAGCACCTTCATATCTTGTATAATATTAAATATAAGACTTCCATTCTTTAAATGCTTATTTATATTTGTTTTGTTTCATTAAAATACATAACGCATGAAGAAATTCAACAAGAAATGGTGAGGATTTTTAAAAAATTATTTTTTGCAAAAAGAAAAATTCGTTTATTTAAAAAGCATTCTAATTACAAAGATATTTTAAGTAATACTAATTATTTAATGTATGTGCAATGTTTAGTTTCGGTTGTTGTAAAACAATGATTAATAAAAATCTTAAAATTATAACAGTCTTTCATTTTGGAAATACATATTAATGAGCCGTTCGCGAACTTCATTCCCATTTCTTGCTATATCTTCATTTATTATTACTGGACGTTCCAAATCTATTTCATCATAATATAACTCTGGTTCTGGAAGTTTCCAATGAAAAACGATGTTATGCAAAACGCAAGCAGCATTAATTATTCTAGTTAAAAATGAAAATTATACCAAATTTAAAAACAGAATAAACAAATTATGTAACTCTATAAAAAGGTTTAAACATATACAATGTTTTATTATCAGATACCTGTAACTTCTGATGTATAATGCAGAGTTCTGTTTTTTCTGAGGCATCGCCAGCTCCCCTTTAATCTACCAATGGTCTGTTCTATAGAAGAACAACTTTTAACGTGACACCGCGTGTATCTTGCTGATGGTGTACCTTCAGGTTCATTTAATTTTGGTGTCAAATATGGTAATAATAGATAAGCACTATCACCTACAAACAAAACATATTAAAGTTTATTATATACAGAAAAGTATTATTTTACCGAGACTGAAACAAAAGAGACTGCTAATTAAATATGCTATTACCTAAAAGCCAAGTATCTGTTCGTCCTGCAGCGTGCATCTCTTGCAGATGATTGGATAAAATAGATGTTCTCCAAACTCTGGCATCATGCGTTCTTCCATATGTAGCATTTACGATCAAAATTTTACCGTTGTAATTCGAAACTTATAAACTTATAAACATATTAAATTACTCTTATATTAATTTATTTTACTGTATATTATAAAAATAATATACGTATTATATAATGAGAACATTTAATAAATGATATAATTTTCAGTTTATATAGAGATGCTCTTTCTCTATATTTGGTGGGACAATTGCTATATGAATTCTATCTATTGCTCCAATAATTTCAGGAAATTGTGTATGTACCCAGAAACTGCATTATTAAAATAAAATGTATTTACTATACAATTATTTACTATAAAATAATTACTTAATTGAATAATATTTCAATTTACCCATCGCATATTATGATTGTGATTTATTCCCAGGTAGCAAGCTACGTCATTTTGACGTCATTTTGACGTAGCTTGCTACCTGGGTTGTTATTTTATTACAAAAAAAATACATTAAACTTACGTTTCTTTAACATGTTGAATATCTGTATTTTCGATTGGAAATTGAATTCAGTCATTTATTAAAATGTTCAATGCATTAACTATTACATTGCGTAGAATCTTGCTTACTGTTGGTTGACTTACACACGTTAAAAAATCTTGGTCAACTCGCTTTTGATATGAACCAAACGATATAAAATTCAATGCAATTAGAACCTGTAACAAAAAATTATTGTTATAATAAATAATAAGTTTTCAATAGAAAAACTAAATCATTATTCAAGGTCCGGCAAAATGATCTCCCACATTTTGCACCGCCACTGTCCCCGAACCACTGAAGAGAGGCTGAGCTTAGCGTAGTCGGTTGGTAGCTCGCGCCTTGCCATTTCAGTTGTCGTCATGAATTGGACGGGCGAGCATCGTGCCTTCGTTATCGAAACATTTATGAAAAGTAACGAATCTGTGATTACGACACAAAGAACTTTTCGTACTCACTTCGCGTTTGGTAGACATGCTCCAGTTCCAGATCGCAAAACAATACTGTTGTGGGTTTCAAATTTTAGAGCTACAGGTTCAGCTTTAAAAAGAAAATCAACTGGTAAATCAATACGCCAAGAAATTACAGGAATATCGCTTCAAATTATTGCTCGAGTGATGGAAACTTTTAAAAATCAGCTTCGAATGTGTATCGAAAAAAATGATCGCCACTTGGACTCTGTAATTTTCAAAATTCAATAAAAACAAATGGAATAGCATAAATTTTCAGTTAATAGAAACAAAATCTAAATAGCATTTACAATGGCGTTTTTATTAAAGATTAAAATGTGGAAGATCATTTTGCCGGACCCTGTATTACTTTGTATGATGTTATTCTTACTTCAATACCTGTAATTCAACAGCAACTGTGATGTCGTCTTGGATTTGATAGAAGTCATATATTTTCGATGAGAGAGAGAGAGAGAGAGCACTCGTACGGCTATATATGAATTCATATATATATGTAAATTCTGAAATATTGTACATAAGATTTGTATAAAAAAAATTTGAGATTTTCTGAACAGTTATAAAATGATACAGAAATTCTAAAATTTTAGAATTTTTTTACATGTAAATTATAAAATACTGTAAGATTTGTATTGGGAAATTCGATGGCGGAGCCTACACATCCTGCCATCTAGCGCCAACGATCGAAATTAGAAATCTACTGCGAGTAGATAATCTATCCGGTTTTTGTACTTCTTGTATTACGGTTATTATACATAAATATGTAGAAGTTTAGTAAACAAATAAAAATGAGTAAACAAATAATAATATTTATAGGAGAAATTTGTGCTTTTGCTAGTTCGACACCTACTAGTAAAAATTTTATTGGTGATGAAAAATTGATGAATGCTGGTCATATTGTTTTTTGTGGAAAAATGTTAGATGACAATAGCAACATTTTTGAGATTACTGCGTTTTGTCTTTAAACTTTGAACTTAAAAGGTGCTCCACATAAAATAAGAGGAAAAATAAATAATAAAAGAAAAGTCATTTCAATGAAATGTTCCTGTAAAGCAGGCTCAAAGTGCATGCAAACACGTCTTAGCAATTTTGTTTTACTGTAGTAGATGAAATCATTTATTTCATTCATAGTTATGTACAAATTATAGCATTTATACAAAATGTAAAACTTGGAAAATAATATCAACATAAAATTTTCTAAACAAAAATTATATTTATTTCAAAAAATTATATTTATTTCAATACAATAATATTAGGTGTACAAATAAGTTTCCGCTGTTTTTTATCAAAAAATTAAGCATTTATTATGAAAGAACGATACATAATTTTTTATTGAAAGTATTGTCCATCGCTAGCCACTACTTTTTCCCATCTTTCTGGTAGCATACGGATACCGCATTGGAAAAACGCTTCATCTTTTTAGGCTATCCAATTATCGATTCAATTTTTGATATCTTCATATGATGTGAAGTGCTGCTCAGACAGGCCATGCGCCATCGATCGAAATAGATGGTAATCGGAAGGGGCAATGTCTGGTGAATACGGCGGGTGGGGTAGAACTTCCCAATTGAATGTTTCCATGTAGGTTTTGACCGGCGCCGCAACATGTGGTCGAGCATTATCATGCAGGAGAATAATTTTGTCATGCCTGGAATAATAGTGGGCGCGTTTTTTCTTGAGTGTTCGGCTTAATCTCATCAATTGTGTTCGGTAGAGAGCCCCAGTAACGGTTTCGTTCGGTTTGAGCAACTCATAATACACGACACCAAGCTGATCCCACCAAATATACAACATGAGTTTTTTTCCATGAATATTTGGCTTGGCTGTCGATGTTGAAGCATGGCCAGGTGATCCCCATGATTTCCTCTTCTTTGGGTTGTTATCGTAGTGGATCCATTTTTCATCACCAGTGACTATACGATGTAAAAAACCCTTTCGTTTATGCCTGACAAGCAGCATTTCACATATGGAAAATCGGCGTTCAACGTTTCTCGGCTTCATATGGAACCCAATTCCCTTGTTTTGAATCATTCCCAATGATTTCAAACGATGTGAAATTGCTTGAGTCGCTCCTAATGTAAGTTCTTTTTGCGTTTGGCACGAATCTTCATTCAATAATGCTTCCAATTCCGCGTCTTCGTACACTTTCGGCCTTCCGCTACGTTCTTTGTCTTCGACGTCAAATTCACCGTTCTTAAATTTTTGAAACCATTCACGACAATTTCTCTCACTTAAGGCAGCTTCACCATATGCTTCTACAAGAAATCGATGAGCCTCAGCTACAGATTTCTTCAAATTAAAGAAGTAAATCAAAAGTTCCCGCAAATGACGCTTATTCGGCTCAAAACTCAGCATTTTCGC